TATTTAAATATATTTACACATGGCTTGTGTATATCGTATATATACATATATATTATTCATACCTTCGGTGTATAGGACGCAAGCAGATTCTGACATCAAATTTTGGGGTAAAAAATGCGTCTTATATACCGAAAAATACGGTAATTACATTGACGTGTAGATCTTTTGTGACATACGATAGTTACGCTGCACTAGGACTTAAAGTGAGGGGGGGGTGAAGTCTCGAACATTGTGTTATTCGAGCAGGCCCATCGAGAGGGCGGGGAGGCCGAGGACATTTCTCCCGGACCCACTGACCCGAAAGGACCCTGGAGACGGCAGGGGAAAAATTGATTGAGATGGGTGGGGCACATACCAATCCTTCCCTGGACCCATGAAAATTCTCGACGGGCCGGGGCTTACGTATCGGTTCACAGGAAGTCAGTGGAGTTTTATGTGGTATTTTGTATCAGTTTGCATTATGTGATACTTTCGTAATATTTATTTGAGCAGCATGTTTATGTGGTACTGGTGAGTTCGAATTAGGTTTACAACAGAGTGTAGAGATTGTACAGTGTACGTGCATGTAAATAGCTGACAGGTATAAATGTTACTGTCAACACACATGAGTTATGTAAATAATACACTTGACTAGTGAACATGACGAAGTGGGGATTGTTCCGAGTTTATTTTGCTCTCAAGAATTATTCTGTCGTGGTCTTACAACCGGAAGCAACCAAAACTGTTGTCATTTCATATCACTCCAACATGTATAATCAACTTAGATTTCTTTCTGGCCTTGTAGTTTATGTTCTTGGTTTGCTGCTTAGTTATCTTGTCTATTTTGTAGATGTATCTTGGTTTATTACGCGGGAAACGAGCTGAAATATATACCATGTTGTTGTACCATGCGTATGTAATGAACTTGGTGTATCTCGGTTTATTACGCAGAAAGCGACCTGCAATATATACCATATTGTTGTAGCGTACGTATATAACGAACTTGGTGTCTCTTGGTTTTCTACGCAGAAAGCGATCTGAAATAATACCATATTGTTATACCGTACACACGTATGTAACGAACTGTGATGTTTGTGTTTTAACTATGCAGGAAGCAACTTGAAATATATATATATATATATATATATATATATTGTACATACGTATGTAATGAACTGTGATCTGTTCTTCATTTGCAGTTTAATTATTTGAAACGTTTTATAGTTTTATCTCTATTTAAAAGGTAATGATTTACAAACGCAATAATAGTGTGATGATCTTAAAGAAATATCTAAAATCACTGTAAGAGAAGCGAACCAAAATGTTGTCACATAAGTAAATTCTCGATATGCTCTACAATGTACTAGACGAAGACTGGTATACTGAAGAGGAAATGATTACGTTTCTCGATTCAAAGATGACGTGGTTTTACCAGATCAACACGTTTAGTGGACTCCAGAGAAAGGCCGTACACCTCAGGTTAAGCATTGTAACGGTTAAGATTTCCTAGTGTTAGTGAATAAGAAGGCTCTTGTTCTGTGAACCAGCTTTTTTTCTTTTTGAAACCTGGAACTACCTTGTTGTTTGGAGGAAAGGGGTGAAAATCACACAGACCTCTATGTACACAGTTTTTTAAACAATCGTAACGTGTAGATAGTACAGGATACGTTACTGGTGGTCCTGTGGTTTCCACAGACCTCAAACAGGTTTCAACAGACGAAAACGTCACACAGGAAGAAGAGGCTTACCTGGTCCGCCTGGGGCACACGAAGCGCAGATTTCTCTACTGTACACTTGATGCAAAACACCTGATCTCTCTCCCTCCCTCTAACGTGTTTGAGTCTAGGGCGAGGCTCAGGTTTTACCTCTGTCATGACCACCCATTGTAGGACATGAATCTTCTCTCCAGCCTTTAAAAGTCCGGCGTTCCCTTTCCCTCGAACTTCATGTTTTTTTTTGGTTTTTTTTTGTACCCTGAGGTCTTTAATGATTTCTACAAGTTTTTTTCTCTCTTTCTTTTTTGTCGTTCTTTGAAATATTTTGCATGCCCTTGGGTATGTTACCATCAACAAGCCAGCCCTCAGTCTGGTGAAAATGTGTTGAAAAAAATCTTGTGAGTTTGTGAAGAAAAACGAAACAACGAAGAATGTAATCTTATTGTGATGTCGTATCGCAGTTGTTACCATGCCTACAGCTAGTGAACGTTGCCAGCTATCCGGTAACAATTTTTACCATATGTAATAGTGAACATCGTCTGCATTAATATATTTACATTCATTATAATTTACCGTGCGTTGTATAGTCTTTATTTTCATGAAATGATTTTTTTTCTGCGTTTTATTATACCTTTACTTTTTGAAGCATGAAAGTAGAAATTAATAATTCGTTCAGAATATGAAAAAAAAAAAAAATGACGAAATACGTGCACATGTTTGTATGGTATTTTAGAGAGTCGTGTTTACAGATATTGAAAATAAAAGTTTGCAGAACTTCTGATGATGGAATGAATATATTACGAAAATCAATGAATCTTTATTAAAATAAAATGTTTTTTCATCCGCTCAACCAAGTTTGACTTCAGATTGGCCTTTAGGGTTTTATGTGTGATTAAAATATGAGTTTCAGTTAACATATGATGTTATCAGTGTAGCTGCTTTGTGTGTGAAAAGCTGGATGTGGCCTAGTGGCTAGCATACCGTTTCCTCAAAACTGCACTCCGCACTTCTAGAGCCACGGTCAAATGACAATAGCCTATGGGTTGCCTGTAGATGCTATTGGCTTAGCTACCTTCCATTAGCCTGTGAGTTCAATATTAGGGATGGCTAGAGCAGATAAACCCTGGATAGCTTTGTGTGAAGTTTCGAAACAAACGCACAAAATTGTGTGTAAACCATAAAAAAATATACTTTTATCGTTTTATTGAACGTTAATTACGGAGGAGAAAACTTGGGTTTGAAATAAAGCTAATAGTTAAACTTCAACACGCCACAACTTGGGTTTGAAATAAAGCTAATAGTTAAACTTCAACACGTCGCATCTTGGGTTTGAAATAAAGCTAATAGTTAAACTTCAACACGTCGCATCTTGGGTTTGAAATAAAGCTAATAGTTAAACTTCAACACGTCGCATCTTGGGTTTGAAATAAAGCTAATAGTTAAACTTCAACACGTCGCATCTTGGGTTTGAAATAAAGCTAATAGTTAAACTTCAACACGTCGCATCTTGGGTTTGAAATAAAGCTAACAGTTAAACTTCAACACGTCGCATCTTGGGTTTGAAATAAAGCTAACAGTTAAACTTCAACACGCAGCAACTTGGGTTTGAAATAAAGCTAACAGTTAAACTTCAACACGCCACAGTTGTATATATTAAACTTGTCATCTAACATACGATAGGGGCGTCTTGATAAACACATTGCAGGACTTATTTATTATTAAAAACCTCTGTAATATGAGGTCCTGTGTGCGACTAAAGACTGAGTTAACACAGAATTTATTCATATTAATCAATAACTCCAGTATCGTCTTTCTCCTAATTTATGCATATTTTTTCATTATCTCAGAACTTTTAAAGTTAGCGTTCGTATGAAAAGCTTTACAAATGATAAACGTATTAAGGTTACACGCCAGTTCCAAGTAGGTTTACGCTGCTAAGTTTTCGCTGAG